TTCTCTTCTCCTAACCACCACTGTGTGGTAGACTGGGGTGTTGCAGTGTATTTTGATTATTTCTCTTCTCCTAACCACCACTGTGTGGTAGACTGGGGTGTTGCAGTGTACTTTGATTATTTCTCTTCTCCTAACCACCACTGTGTGGTAGACTGGGTTGTTGCAGTGTATTTTGATTATTTCTCTTCTCCTAACCACCACTGTGTGGTAGACTGGGGTGTTGCAGTGTATTTTGATTATTTCTCTTCTCCTAACCACCACTGTGTGGTAGACTGGGGTGTTGCAGTGTATTTTGATTATTTCTCTTCTCCTAACCACCACTGTGTGGTAGACTGGAGTTTTGCAGTGCATTTCGTTTATTTCTCTTCTCCTAACCACCACTGTGTGGTAGACTAGGGTGTTGCAGTGTATTTTGATTATTTCTCTTCTCCTAACCACCACTGTGTGGTAGACTGGGGTGTTGCAGTGTATTTTGATTATTTCTCTTCTCCTAACCACCACTGTGAGGAAGACTTGCGTGTTGCAGTGTATTTTGATTATTTCTCTTCTCCTAACCACCACTGTGTGGTAGACTGGGGTGTTGCAGTGTATTTTGATTATTTCTCTTCTCCTAACCACCACTGTGTGGTAGACTGGGGTGTTGCAGTGTATTTTGATTATTTCTCTTCTCCTAACCACCACTGTGTGATAGACTGGGGTATTGCAGTGTATTTTGATTATTTCTCTTCTCCTAGCCACCACTGTGTGGTAGACTGGGGTGTTGCAGTGCATTTTGATTATTTCTCTTCTCCTAACCACCACTGTGTGGTAGACTGGGGTGTTGCAGTGTATTTTGATTATTTCTCTTCTCCTAACCACCACTGTGTGGTAGACTGGGGTGTTGCAGTGTATTTTGATTATTTCTCTTCTCCTAACCACCACTGTGTGGTAGATGTGTTCATTGCCGTACATGTAAATCTTTCGTCGACTGTGTGATAATGTCCAAAGCAATCAGTGCTGTCGTTGATGTCCGGCTGACTAATTTTAAACTCGCACCTTTGAGTGGTAACATCAAGGTGAATATGTCTTGGATTTATTGGTCCAAAAGCTGTTAATGCCGAGCAACTTTTGCACGTGTGCCCCATAATATCAATGGATATATACCTCTTACATTCGTTAACTTGACCTTCCTTGTTAAAGATGTCCACATCACTCAACCGACCAATCAGAAGGTCACGTGTTAGGGATTCTCTGTTTGGGTAGTTACAAGTGGCTCTAAATAAGGTGGACTTGTTATGAAAGTACTTCATTCTGTCTAATCTAACTCGATAGCCATTCCAACTCGGTACATTGCCGAGATTCCTTCCATAGTCAATAGAAAATGGCTTGTTCTTGAATTCTTTATTTTCTCGAGAAAACGATTCGATAAGCGTCCACGCCTTGTTGTCTTCAAAAGCACAGTATACTTGAATATAGTTTCGTTTGTCATCTCTTTGAATCCTGTAGACATCTTTTTTTGGTGTTGTCGTAGAAGCGATTAGGATATCCATACAGGATGAAGGACTTTTCTCACATATTTTGCCTTTGAATCCTAAAGGACATCTGCAGGCGAACTTTTCTTTTGGGGAGGTGCATTGCTCGACGCAAGTACCCCCGTTCTTGCAAGGCTGAGATCGACAGCACCCATTATAGCAACTTCCTCTCTGTACCATATGGGATTGCCTCTAAAGTAGAAAATGTCATTGATTTAGATATAGCAGGTAATATATTAAGAAAAGTCAAAAAAGTTGAATTCAGTTCTATGGATTACTAACCCCCTGATACATTGTCTGCTTGAGATCAAAGTACACGTATCCTGACTCAGCTGTAAAATTGTCAGCCTTGGAAGTCTTGTCCTCATCTAGCAACTCACACCTTACATCTTTCATCTGACACGCCTTACAACGACAATCTTGGACACAAGATGAGTAGCACTTGACTGGATCATCAGTGGTGATGTTGTTGTAGGAGTATCCCTTGAGATGTTTTCCACGGAAGATGTCTTTGCTTTCTGGGAATAGTGTTCCTGAATAGCAGGTGCCAACGCAGTGGGGGTTGCTTCTGACGTGGTGTAGGAAAGCAAGCAAGAGTATAGCAGTGCACAATTTCATTGTAGCAGTAGAGTAACTTTTATTAAAATAAAAAAATACTTTATTAGGGACCTACAATTTGCTTGAAATTATCCATTAAACATAGAAAACAAAAAGGCAATAACAACTGATTTGCACTGTAAGATGGTCTGTGATAAACAATGGCTCCATTTAGTCTCCATTTCTATGTAAGGTGAATCCAATAAGTGAAATTTTGTTTATCAAAACAGTGTAACCATACTTCATTTCGGTCGTGCAATCTCCATTCGACAATCGGGGAAGCAAGGATGGCCGATCGGTGAGAGCGCCTGTCACCGCTGTGGTCCCGGGTTCGATTCTGACTTGAGATCATATGTATGTGGCCTGAGTTTGTTTCCGTTCTCTCCCTTGCTTCGAGGGTTTTTTTCTCCGAGTTCTCCGGTTTTTCCTCCCTAAGCAAAATGGAACATTTCGATCCTAGCTGTGCTCCGTGATCAGATATGGTTCGGTTGGTTGGCTGCTTTGTGTGTGTGTTGGAGCTATGTGATTGTCCTTATAATGATAGCGCCCTCGTATCACCAATTTATTTATTTTTTTATTTATTTGATCGCCGTTGACGGTTCTCCTCGACCTTTTTTTTAAATAGTTGTATATCTTTTTTTCTTTCGGTCGTTCATTGTAAATTGCCTGATGAGTGTGGGTCAAACCAAAAGAAACAGGTCGGTAGCAATAAATCAATGGATCCTATTCAGAGCGTTTAGCTCAATATTTTTATGTCTAAATTACTACTTTTAAGTTTAGCACTATGAAAAATTATACTTCAATAGAACGTTAGTGTATCTTTCATAGCATATAAATAACGTCAGTCTCTAAGTTGATTCGATGTTTTTTTTTTTAAAGTTAATCGAATAGAATGGTAGCTAGTAATTAAGCGTCGATCTTTTGCAGCTGTCGAAAAGAGGCTAAAGAGTCTTCCAAAAAAGTTTATATTATTGCAATCTTAGCACAATCGTACGAAGTTCGTTGCTTAAAGGTATATTTTTATGACACCTTTAATTTAAAAAGACTATCTTAATCAAATAAAGAAGATATTGCGAAAGATCGTCGATAATAATCTGAACATACACACCTGTTTCATCGGAAAGAACCACAATCGAAATCGAAGAATGGAGATTGTCCTGACAGAGTAGATTCTTTCTAGAATTACTGATGTACAATATCAGCACACATTCTTCAATAATACAGATAATATGAACGTTAGTACTATAGTTATGTCTGAACGTGCTGGTTAAATACGCATCCAGCTCCGCTGCTTTACATGAAGCCATGTTTCTAATTAATAAAGGCCAAAAAAAAACTAATGTAACATTAATAAACACCTTGATAAACTTACCCAATAAAATTGTAATAGTATTTGATCATAGCTCAATGTGTTTCACAACGTCAAACCTGTTCTGGAGGAAAGGCTTCTGATGTCCGAGTATATCGAAACACGTACGTCAAATGTTTCAGGCGAGAGCCAGTGAGCTATATCTGAATGTTGTTTTCGGAAATTTTAATTTACAATTTCTTTGTCCCTTAATTACTCTTCTCAGGGGGACGTTGTTTTTCAATTGGAGAAATAAGTTATATTAGTTAAGAAGAATTACTCGAACTTGATAATTAGGCAAAACGATTGAATAGTAAAAATAAGTTCTAAGCCAAGGACCTAAGGAAACGATTACTTTGAACAAAAAGCAGCTAGTTCCAATAATCGGGAGATGGGGTGAAAATTCTTTCCTTTAATGGACAAAAAAACCCTTCGTACAATCTTAGCTAATCTTCTCCAAGATCTATTCAAAAACACTAATCACATATATTGTTGTTGCTGTGCATCGATATCACGAAATGGAAGATTTCAAGTAAAATAAAGTACAGTTTCCAGGTTTTTGAGACCACTTTGGTGTTTTTAAGTTCCTTTCGGTATTCCTTTATTTATAATGAATTGTCATGCTGCCGTAAACTAGGGTGTTTCATTATCTGTGGTGATAATTTCTGTTCTTCTTTGGTTATTTCTCTTCTCCTGACCACCACTGTGTTGTAGACTGGTGTGTTCAGTGTATTTTGATTATTTCTCTTCCCAAACCACCACTGTGTGCTAGACTGGGGTGTTGCAGTGCATTTTGATTAGTTCTCTTCTCCTAACCACCACACTGTGCGGTAGACTGGGTTGTTGCAGTGTATTTTGATTATTTCTCTTCGCCTAACCACCACTGTGTGGTAGACTGGGGTGATGCAGTGTATTTTTATTATTTCTCTTCTCCTAACCACCACTGTGTGGTAAACTGGGGTGTTGCAGTGTATTTTGATTATTTCTCTTCTCCTAACCACCACTGTGTGGTAGACTGGGGTGTTGCAGTGTATTTTGATTATTTCTCTTCTCCTAACCACCACTGTGTGGTAGACTGGGGTGTTNTATGCATTTTTATTATATACCCTTACATTCACTTTCATTACATTATAAATAATATAGCATATTGGCMGCGCACAATGACCCAGTTCGGACTTGAAAACAGACGATGGCTTTTCTAAATRGCTGTGATGTCTCACWTTTAAGGTGGCTTCCTATAGTTTTATTTTTCGACCATATCATACCAACGCATCTAGATTTACTTTTGACGTGGGACAGGMAAGCCAGAATAACTATTGCTGTATACTGTAGCATTCTAAACCTTATAAGAAATAATATTTTATTTGTATATTACTTTCTTTTTTGAAAACCTTCATCTTGATGCTCGAAATTGTAACAAACATATTCTTTGAATGATTTGAAATCAGGAACAATTGGTAACTACTAAGGTAGTTACTAAGGTAACTACTCCCCGAGTAAGCGAAATTTACCATTGTTTTACTTSTTCTCTTCGAATGAAACATGCTGATTGTTTTCATCGACAAATTTGCTGTTGTTAAAATTCAACTTCAATTGAAGAATTTCTATTAAGACTGGGTAAGACTGCRTTAGATTTTGTGTTACACCTTAAAAGATATTCCAAAACTCCCATACAGATATCGACGACTTTCATAATGGCCTATACTAAATAACATATTATCGTTAAATTCACAATGTTGACAAAGTAAAACACTCAGATGATAGATATCAAAGCTAAAAACAAGCKCTTAAAAAAGTCCTGATGATGCATGCTGTAGAACAGTGAGAGCTCGACTTCATATCATTGAAGTTAAGGTGTTTCGATCGTATTAAATAAAAATAGCGCTTCGCTTTTTTTTTTTTTTTTTTTCAACTCCATTACGTCGCAAATTTCGATTCGATTGTACTCAAATGTTCACAGAAGTTACAGTGATTATCGATAATTCTTGTTGATAAATTAATTTGACGGGAAAACGAAGCCATTTGGATAAACGATGCAAAATAAAAACACCTTCATTTTTCTTCAAAGTTAATTTTCTCAAAACTCATCGCAGAAATTGTAATAATTTTTTCAGAATCATTTCTTAATAACATAATTGACATACTGACGAAGGTTGAATAAAATCTTAACCTAAATTTTCGAGATATTTGAGCATTTCAAAATGTTGCTTAAAACGATGCGCGGCCATGTTTAAACTCCTTTTAACTTTAAAAAGTTTCACAGAAGAAGATTAAATTTTCTTGAAGTTATAAGGGTTCGAAAAGGCTTAAAAAACACAAAATCGAGGYCACCAATGCCTCATTAATGAATTTCATGGCAAATCCTTGTAATTTTAATCCCCATAATTTCGCTAGTGTTAAGTCCATAGCTTCAAAACCCTCTGAAAATGCCTATTTTTTTCTGATAGTTCTTCCATTATCTAAAATCGTGGAAGGCACTTATGAAAGTGTTGAGATCAGTTTCTTAATAGATGCTATTTACTATTTCACTTGCAATCTAAAACATTTACTTCCCGTACAAAGAAAACTGTACATGCTGTAGGAAAGATCGAGCCAATAAACATCAATAACATATCAATAAATGATCGATTCTGCCGTTAGAAAGTGATGATCCTAACAAGCGCAACAATTATATCAAATGATTATTAAACTTACCAAACGGAACAAAGTTGTAAAAGTGTTTTCTTCAAGCTTAGTAGGGGAATCGATTCTGACATCCAGCTCAGTTTTGTTTGCAACCAATACAGCGTAGGTAGGTAGTGAGCTAATTTGAGCGCTGTTGTCAGTATGTTGTCGATTAGAAACAGAAATTACAACCATTTTGTGCCATAATTAAGTTAACTCTCCAGGAGTTTTCAGTACTTAAATGATATTCACGACTTGAAAACCTCTGAATGCATGGTAATCCGGTACTGTCAGCTTTTAGCAACTTGAGCTCCTGTCATTAAGATTTTTGGAGTACAAAATAGCGGAAAAAAAGAAAAAGTTAAGTACATATTTATCAAAATATGAAATGTGTTATGAGCTTTTCAAGGATATGGAAAATTTTAAACAGCTATAATTTGAATGTAAGGGCTTGGTAAAAATAAAATGAAAATATATCTATATATAAAATAAATAAATAAATAAATTAATTAATTAATTAATTAATTAAAAAAGAAAGAAAGAAATAATAATAATAATATATATTATAAATACAGCTTCGGACATTTAGTGGCCTTTAATACAATCTAGACGKTTTTTTTTTTCTTTAATGGCCAATGGAAATAAGAAAAAAACAACTTGTCATGTAAACGACTTGTCATGAATAAATAATAATACTATGTATTCTTATATATAGAGCATCTAGGGTGGCACACTTAGTGTGGCACTCCCAAATTTGTAAATATCACATATATATATTTTATAGGGGTGGTTTGTATTATTTTGTAACCCGTTTTGTGTATGCATTGAATGTATATTGTGATAAACAATAAAAAAAAAAAGATTTTTGGATCTATATTCTGTAAAATTATCAAAGTAATTACTTTTAATTGGCACGTTAGCACCTGCGTGAACACTATTCAATTAGTCCATCGACAACTTAAAAACAGTTTGAAGTATTAACTCACGCTAAGCTTTGCTAATAACTGCAACTGAGATCTTTTGCCTTCTTTTAGTCAACCTATCAATGGGCCACAACCAGCCGGCATTCACACCTCGGTCATCCCTCGATTTAATCATGTTATAAGTTGAGTTTCGCGATCCGGCTCTTATTAGCCTAAAATTTGATTACGATATGCATGCGGAGATATAAATCATGAGATTTCAAAATATTTTTATTGGCATCTGTACCCTGTTACTGATTAAAATCATATTTTGAAAATGCTTTGAAGCGAATACAGTGTAAAAGAGGTCGCTAAAAGGGTTCGAAATGATATTATAAAATAAAAAGAGAATGCGCTCAA